AAGTTTTGACCTGCTTAAAGAGCCATCTCTATGGAAACATAATGAGAAGATAATTGAATGGAACCTCTTTGCCTTGCATCTCTTTCTCACACTGATGCCAGCAAGGTCAGAACCTTGCAGACATGTTTCCCTTCAGGTTCATGCAAATTTGATAAGAATACTAAAGGCCTATTTTCCCCACTCTGCCAGCCCCCGGTAGATAAATTATCTTGTATTCAGTCAGTTACATTTATAGGTCTGTCTGTTTTCACGCTAATTATGTGACTGGGCCTTATATAATGCATGCAGATAACCAAGTGGCCTTCCAAAAGAGTTGGCAAAAGCTTTTGTATTTGTTTATTCACCACTCCAAAAGCAAATAATATTTGTAGGATCAAAGTTACATTCCACCCCATTCACATCCAATAAGTTGTAAATAGCCATATGACATTCCACACCATTCACATCCAATAAGTTGTAAATAGCCATTCAGAAGGAATGAGAGCCAGTATCAATTTATTGAAGATCATAACAGTAGTGGTTTCATTTTTGGACTGCGCTTTACACCTGTAGATTTTATACCCTACGACTGAGATGTGGCCATGTTTTAAAGCACATCTGCATTTATAATACTTAACGGGAAAATAAAAGCCAATTGAAATGGCCTCATTCCCTGCTCTGATGTTTATGTTTTGTTTTGAGAATGATAGGCTTTCTAAAGCCAACAGGCACATTCATAAAAGCAGCACATGGTGCCATTTGTTTCCCTTTCCAATTCTGTAATGTACCAGCTCAGGGCTATTTTTGTATCTCAGGGCACATTGGACTCTGTGTCTTATAAAATCAGACCTTGTATATGCAAGATGAGCCCCAGTGCTTTCCTATCTGAGACCAGAATCATCACACGCTTAATAGGGAAAGCTAGTCTAGTCTAACTTGTTTGATACAGCTTTTGCTAAAAGCCTGTTTTTTAACTGTATGCTTTGTTCTGTTAGCTTGTATTGAGTACATGTGTAGTGATCTTGGACCTTAGGGTGTCCTGGACACGCTAGAAATTATGGGAGTAAGAAACAGGTACATGTAACACAGGCATTGCCAGTTGCTGCAAGTTCATGGAAAGTTAAGTCCCAGAAGTCTTTGATACAGCTGTTTTTGCCATCATATTGTATAAAAACTAATGCACCCAAGCTTCCAGCTGCATTGGAGCACATTGTCTTTCTAAAGCGAGCATATATTGAACAGGATCTTTGGATCCCTAAAGTAACCTTCATATTTAGAAAGTCTGTCATGACACAGTTTTCACTTCTTGTTTTTATTTCTTGTTTCTAGGTCTCAGACCTACAACCACAAGCCTAGGCATGGTTTTGAAATTGTGAGGTTCAGTAATAAAGTCTTGGACATTTTAAAAGTCACATCCTACTTATGCTGAGTGGATAGGAAAGTGCTTCTCTTCCTGTACTATACATGGCCATATATGTTTTTTTCCTTCTCTTCTGAACCTATATTCCTAGGTTTTTCAGTTCTACGCTATGACAGTGCATTTCATGTGGTAGCCTTCTAATGAAGTTGTACATCAGACCACAACAAAAATGAAGGCCTCCACAGTAGAGTAATGGCATTTGGCTCCCTTTCAGACATGCAGTGCTGAAACTTCTGCCAAGTGTCACTGCATCATTGACTTTCAGTACAAGTTATCAGTCTATGAATGGAAGAACACAAATCACTTTCAGTGCACGTTCACAGAGGAGCTGCAGATTTCGCGCAGTAAGGGAAGGTAATGGGCAAATTGAACATAAAACAACTCAGAGGTACCATGGAATCTTTTACCAGACATCTCAGAAGTAAAACACTCGACTGATTTCACCATGGATTTTAAAACATCAAAGTTGTCTGGAAGGCCTTGGAGGCAAGTGCCTTGTCTTATCAGAACTTGCGTGCTAGATTTTTGTCAGCTTTTCCATCTTTTGAGACCAGCTGTTAGCATTTTCAAGGTCAGCCCAGGAATGTGAAACTTCATAATTAGAGAATGCATGAAATGACAATTGGAATTTGCATTCTGTGGCAAAAAGTTCATTTACTTTTTTGTAAATCAGAGTTGCAAAGTATTTGGTGGCCTGCTTCCCGTGAACAACTCCCCCACCCACACCATGTCTACCACAGGAGCCTACAAATTTTGCTCCTTCTCCTGCTTCTGCTCCTCTGTGGAAGGCAAAATTAAATGGGTTGATGGCCTCAAGCCATTTCTTAGGGATGTGAGGCCAGTTCCACATCACTGACATCACCACCACATCTGATATATTGTTACATCCCTGTTGACAAGTCTGGTAAGAAGAAAAGGATTAAAATGGTACTGAACACTGAACAAGCCGCTTGTTATAAGAAGCTGCCTCTCCAGTTCAAAAAGTAAGAAATTTTTAGTGGTATCTTTTATTGGACTAACTTTATCATTGGAAGAGATGTTGAACAAGCTTTCAGGCACAGGTTCAAGGCCTATGTGTACTGGTGAGGCAGTGTTCCTATGATAAATAGGTTTAATTTTCCTGGGCTCTCAATTTGGCACCCTTTATAAGAACCAAAATAGCTTAAAATAGATAAAATAATCATGTTTGCTTTCAGGGGAAGTCCGGGCAAGAGGGCATAAAGTTAACAGGATTAGTTCTTTAGTTTCAAGGGCTGAAAGCCAGGTTACATTATTGTCTTCATACAAAGGTCCATGTACTTCTTATCTGGTGTCATTCATTCCTTTATCCCATTTAGGAAATGCTATTGCCCTGATTATCTTAGAACTGCAGGGTGAAATCCTAACTCTACTGAAGTCTATAGGAGTTTGGGCACTGACTTCAGTGAGGGTCTTCACCACAAAAGCTGTCAGAACTGAGAACTTTCCTCCCGTGCTTCTGAGAACCAAGAGTTTGGCAGCAAAGGCTGTGAACCACCTAGATCATTAATTTTCTCCTTATAAGCCATCCTTTCCAAGTGTAAACTTCATCAGCCAGGAGATTAGCAAATGCCTCTTTGCACCTGGTGCAGTCCAAATCTGGAATTTGGTTGTATCAGTTCATTTGCTGCTTGTGCTGTATTAAATTTCTAATCAGACTGAAGTAGAAAGGAGATGGCATTTCACAGCTTTGCTGTGCCAGCCTCTGTTTGCCTGAATGAATTACTAAATCAAAACTAAACTTCACACTGTCTCATTTCCCCGTTAATGATGTCTTTGCAAATTGATGAGCGTGTTTTTCATGCTTATAAAATGTTGGCCAGTAATTGCTTGCATCTTTTACACTGTGAACTGGTCCAAAATAAAAAGTTCTTCTTTTAAAGGTTTTCTGAATTGATCAAAACTTCTGCAGTGCCCTCTTCTGGGAGCCGAAGAAAATGCAGAAGAGCCTAGGGAATATTGGCAAGAAAACAAAAAAACCCTTATGAAATAATCAGCCTATGCTGCATGTTTCTATGCAAAATTTGAAGACTGTTTTTTCTGTTTTATGTAATCTGTTGTAGTTTAAACTGTGCTTGTTTTAATTTCATATAAGTTCAACATAAACCTTGTGCAACCACATGAAACAGAGCAATATGCACACAGCAATAATAGTAATAAGGACCTGTATTTGGACCCCGAGCTAAAGTTCATTGAAGCCAGTAGAAATACTGGATAGACAGAAATTTTTCTGTGAGGACTTCAGAGAACTTTACAGAATTTCATGATTACCATTTGCCCCAAACACAGAGGAACCGGTGACTTGCTCAAGATCATGCAGTGAGCCATGAGTGATGATGAGTAAGGCCCTGTACTTCAGGGGAGATGAGTGAGCTTAAACACTGAGCAAATAAGATTTAGCACATTTTCTTGCATATAACCTACACCATTTCCCCCCAGCCCAGCTGGGAAAAATTGGGGTGCACATGATAAGTGAGAAAAAGTGCTCCCAACGGATCTATGAAGGGGGGGGGGGAGGGGCCT